AGAATTTGGCTGCTCTCCAGGTTTCGGGGCCAGCGACAGCTTTATTTCGAGGTAGTTAGAGCCGTCTGTGAATTTTCCAGGGTTTAGCCCGTTATTGGTATGCTGCAACTTTTTCTGCCTCTTTCTGCCGTTTTCTAGATTGGTTTTCCCCATGAATTTCCACCCATTTTGCCAGATCTAATCTCCTGTTGCTGGCGCGGATTTCTTCTGTCCCTCGTTTGGGCACCTTGATGATGATGATGATCTTTATTTTACGTCTTGCGAGCCACATGCTTGACGCGTGGCCCTATTAAGTTCCTACTGAGACAAAAGACGCCAGGGTTTAATCTCTGGGCTTCTACATATTTGAAAGGAAAGGAAACCCCCCCCCCCAATACGATACTTTATATACATAGAAAGTGCATTTACATAGCTACTTCCCGCAGATTGCTAAGTTCTCATGTGGTTGTGTAATATTTGCTCGGCGCCATCCCCTGCGTAGGTCAGTCCACATTCCCTGTTGACCTCCACTGCCGAAAAATAAAATTTGTTGCTCCATTGAGTTACTTGTCTTTCTTCTTTAGCTAGCTCGCTTTAGGCATCCATTGAATCTCCAAGGTGTTTTATGGGCATATCTCTGTAAAGAATCGAGTTTCTTGTAGCCATTCCCCGAATTTTCGCCCCCCTTCATGTGTGCCAAGAATGAACGGGATCATCTTTGAAGGTGGACCTTGCATAAGACGAGATCTTCTTTCCCCTATGTGGCAGAAGAAAAAATGTAGTGAGGCCTTTCTACGGCCACATCGGCAGTATTTTGGTGCATTCTCGTGGTTGAAGCGCTCGTGGTAGTTGGCAAAATCGCCATGTCCAGATATAGCTGCTAGGATACGGCCTAGAGTGGCACGCGAGAGGGTGAGTTCTTTAGGCCTAATGGGAGCTGATATAATTCCTAGTTTCTCATGGCTTGTGTACTGGGGGAGAAGTGTTCTCCATAGTCTGCCAGTGGCTTGCGTTGTGGACTCATTTGCCCAGCGCTTCAGATCAGCATATGAGAAAAATAGATCATCTGAAGTTGGTAAATGGCAGCCATTTTTCGCGGCTTTATCAGCGGCTTCATTTCCAATTATGGATGTGTGGCTCGAAACCCATCGAACCCGTATTTGGCCCCGTCTAGTGTGGGCAAGCCGAGGGCGTTCTTGCCACTTGGGTGTCAATGTGAGGAGCTCATCAAATTGCGCTTGTGAGGACCCTGAAAAGTGAGACATGAGTCGAGTGGCAACCTCTGAGTTAACTAGAAAAATCCGGAGTTCTGTAGCGAATTTAGCAATTGGGAGTGCTAGTGCAGATTTTGCTCCTTCTAGGGCGCCTTTCACTTCCGCATCAAAACCTTCGACGCCCTTTCCAAGAGCGATACTCTTATGTAGAACTTGTACACCACCTTGGTAGCCGATGAAGCCAGCGCCTCCAAGGCCATTTAGTTGCTTCGAGCCGTCTGAGTAGATAATTATGTCTCCAAAGGGGATAGTATGGAGGAAATCAAGGAAGACTTGTCTGTTTTCATCTGCAGAGCCACTGTTCGGTTCAGCCACCCGGGTGTGTGCGGCTTCTCGGCACTCACGTGGATTCCAGGGAGGCATGGCAATTGAATTGATTTGCTCTGATTTTGGAAGAGACAGTACACGCCGAGCAAAACGAGAGGTAGGAAGCTGTAAACTGAGAACTCTGTTAGCTCGGCGTAAGAGCGGATGTCGAGGGTCTAGACGGCGTAGTCGGACTGTAGCTGTAAGCACACGCCCATCGAGAGCTATTTCCGGTTGCTGTAACCCTGATTCACGGTGTAGGATCGCTGTTGGCGGGCAACTTGATAAACAAGATGCTTGTTAAAATTGTAGTTAGCTCTAGTTATGCGGTCATGTGATATATGAGGACTGGAATTATAGAGACATCTAAGGTGATCCGTGCGTACATTCACATAAGAAAGGCGGTCTTTATGGTCCAACTTAGGTAGAGAAGCTTTGTGATTTGATCACAATGCAAAATTAAGTAACTAAATTTCTCACAATTCAAAATAATCGGTGCCTGCAATATAATACCGTTTATTCAATGTGACCCTTCACCCTGTACCATAGATCGCTTGATTGCCAAAAGAATACTAGCCCAGTTTCATGTCTATTCCCACACACCCCCCAGGTAGGTCGCGGGTCGTATAGTGTCGCTTGTCATCGCGGCCAAGCTTTTCCAGGTGAAAGACGTATTCACTTCATCGGATCGCTACCTGTGGCTAGCAAATATCTTCACGGAGCAGGTATACTGTAAGTTGTATGTCACTTTTGAAGCCTTTCAAACTTTGTGCAAGGATGACATCCAAGCTCTTTGATTGTGCCTAAGTTGTCAATTTTGGATCGTGTCACAACCCCATCACTCAGATTGAAGACCAAGTTAGTAGATAAAATGTCTCATGAAACCTCGATGTTTGAAATCACTAAATGGTGGCACTTTTGAAATAGTGCAGATGTTGGGCAGAGCCGTACCTGGTAGGTTTCATCTCTACATGAAAGTCGACATTCCTTCAGTAACTCAACCACTATTCTGGTCTTGCGGTGTTTCGATTCTCTCTAGCCCTCTGAACTTCAACAGTATTATCATCAGGAGCTATTTCGGGGGGGCGGGCCTATTAACACCTGTCAGTGGTGTCCCCTACTAGCCTCAAGCTCTCACTGTAGAGCCTGCAGAGCCGAGATTGACTATCAATGTCCTCATTTCGACGAGGATTCCCAACCGCTTTCGTCGTCTGTATCGTCTTCATCGTCTTCATCTCTCAACACATTCCCCTATCACCATTGTTGTGAAGCTAACCACCATTAGATCAGATGGTAGGGTCGGAGCCCTTCTCATCACCGACCCTTGATCATGGAGGAAAAGCCATCCGATGAGTTTCCAGAGCGTACCCAGCACTCGATACGGAGATGGTGGATTGGATCAAGTCGGCCTCGAATGTTACAAAGAAGGGAGATATAGATGAATACGCGCACCTCATGTGGTCCCGGTATCTGGGCCTCGCCTGGCTTTTTGACAACTTTTCCAGCGCACGTAATTTCCATTGCTACCAATTTTTTCGGTAAAAGGATCCGTGCATAAGGTGGTTGAATTCCACAGGCAAATACTGAGCTGAATGGCTGTTCATCAAGGGAAACATATCAATGATCTTTCAAGTAACAAAAGAGGAAAGGAGCACTGTACAAGGTGTGGCCTGGGTCGGAGAGGAGCTCAATATGCTAGACAGTCTATGAGTCAAGAAGTATAATAAACATAAATCTCTCTCTCTCGACTTACAAGTGAACAGAATCCCTTTGTGTTGTAACACACCAAATCTAACCATATTACATTGCCCTTCTATAGCCCTCTCAAACATTATACGCAATTGACCTTGGTTAGAATATGTGGAAACATCAAAGTGCATAGCAGCACATAGAGTGAATAATATGGGAAATGGCACAAAATTGATTGATAGATTCGATGTCAGAATGGAGTTTTTGAGATTGGAATTACTTATCAATTGTGTCATAATTAGATAGCTCAATACACTGTGAATTAACAAATATTGACCTTGGGTTGAGATAACCATCCAGTGTTTACAAGATTTCGTCATGAGGATTAATCACCGGAAATTACATCTTGAAGTGGAGATCATGCTTTGAACCTCATCATAATTAAAGGCTAAAATTTTTGAGTTTTAGTGATTCTAATGGAGTTAATTAATTCAGGTCTACTTTACTTGGAGGTAGAGCATGTACTAACTGAATTTAAAGGATGCTACTCGGCATTAATGCCTTTTTGTAGGAGGTAGGAGACCCAAAATTGTTGACCTGGCAAAACTGGTTGCATCGGAATAAAGCAATTGGGTCTAAACTGAGTTTTTGCTTGTTGCAATCTTGATAGGCCCCCACAGTTGGAAATTGATTGTCAAGCTATTAGATGGACCTGATAATGATTTTTTGATGCCTTTGCACCACCCACGGACTGGACGGAAATTACTCTTGATTGTTTCGTTATGTCTGAACATCAATCGAGACACACCGTCTCAAGTGGGTATTACAATTTGACGACCCGTACGACTACCGATGCCTCCGCCCGAAACGTTTTCTTAAGATGAATGAGACGGGGATTACCCGATAGACCTACTAGCGACCTGAAAATCGTACGGAGAGCTTCACTTCCAACACTACATTACCCTTGACCTTGCTCATCGCTAACAACTTGATCATGCTCTATCAGGGAAACGTGTCGACGAAAACGTGACGTTTGCAGGCTCGGCTAATTAAGATGTTGGAGTCCATGTATGATTGTCAGTGGGCTTGAGACGACACCAACCGCCACTAGGAACCCACGAGACAGCACTGACTCCAAGAAGAACAATCCCGTATCGTACCTTGGGCTAAAAGGCATGTGGTGGACCTGGCCCCCAAGAATGAGACGAATTTTTACCAAAGCAATCCTTAGAACACAGCAAAAAACAATGCATCGGATCCACTCATACATTTTCAAGCTAAAAGATACAGAAGATGAGCTATTGTCAAAATGACTTGCATACTCAATACTTCATATTGAGAGATTAGCTGGCCTAATTATCGAACTCATTATCATAGCCGCCACCAAATAGCCAGCATTTTAGATTAGTTAGTCAATCAACTTCTCCCGAGTCATATACCCCCGAAGCTGATAACAATGAAACAAGACTATCAATACTTTCTCGTCGAGTCAGCAAGACCACACTTTCAAGGGTTTATCATTTCATAATCTAATGAGCAGATATCAATGGATGGTTTGAAACCTCCTATACATCAGTAACCTCAATCATCTGAATTTTTCTGACGGTCTCAACTTTTTCATTTCACTTTGTCTTTCCTGATGTGTCTCTATTACATATCTTGATCTTCCCTCCCATTCAGATTTCTTCATTCGCTGGGAATCCGTCCAATTTCTGTCACATCAACTCAACAGTTTTGCTATTTCTCCCATCAATGTCGCAATTCAACGAGCCCCAATCAGGCTTTTCGCCGCTGGGCGGTAAAACTTTTGATAGCCGTCCAGCAGCATACGCACAACCATCACCAACTCGTCGAGATGGCAACCCGAGAGAGCTCTCAATAGAGATGCAACAAACGCCAAAAGAGTCTAGCCACCCTCAGATTCAACCAAGCCGAGTGTCAACAAGCAATTCTGCAGGCTTCGCAACTATAGCTTCGCCTCTATCAGGTAGGCAGCCATAATAAATTATTGAATAATCTAACGTTTATCAGAGATTGAAGAAAAATCATTCCTTAGTTCTGAAAGACGCACAAACACTACCTACGGTACCCAAATAAATAAACAAGGAGACACTGCAAAAAGCAAGAAACAATTAAAACAAATTCTCATCGGTGGTCTGACTAGGTGGCTTATAACATTGGGATTCTGCTGTGTTTACATCCTGGTAATGAATTTATGGCAGCAGAAATCTGCCATCAGCCAAAATCAAAAAAGGTTGTTCAACACGATTACAACTGGTAACAGTATTGCGTTGGGATTAAATATCGCAAGCGCATTTAATGAAATGGCATTGAACATGCGGTGGCCAGTCTTAGCTTCGGGAAAGCGTAGTATGGTAGAAGTAAGTCAACAATTATCTTTCAAGTATATCCTAACAAGGTCAATTTACAGCTTGAGCAAATACTTGTAGCCGATAGTATGACGAATCTTGTTCAATTTATGTTTGCAACTGGCCGGCCATTCGTAATTCTTGCCTGTATGGCCTGGCTCTTTATAAATCTTGTCAGTACCTTGAATTTTTTAGTAACTGATCACTATTACTCACACAACCCAGCTTGCACAAGTCGGAATCGCAATACTTTCGCTGACGTCAAGTTTTGAAAATGATATGGATGCTGTTCAGTGGAAATCTGGGTTCGCCTCAATCCCAATTCTAGATCACTTCTATCCTCAATCGAATATGGTCTTCGCAAAAGCATCTTACCGAGATGAGCAATACATGGCACACATGTAAGAATCAGTGATTAAGTTGAAAATTTTTCTGATATATATTTAGGTATGGATCTTTTGGCTTCAACTACGGCGTAGACCTAGTCAGTTCGCAACCGAATGCCGGAAAAATATACCAGCCAGAGGATTCATTGATTTGGGTTAACAAGGAAAATAACTATGCCGAGTTCATCTTTCTCGACTCTCCAGAAGGATCACAGATGCTAGGGTCGTTTTCTGTCTTCACTGAACGAAGAGTAAACGTTACGTATGAATGTGAGACACATCGTGTCACAACTGGAGGAGATGGAACTGTTCCAATGATTACTGTTGAAGGCATCGGAGATATCACACTTTCTCAGACCGTTGCAGACTCGACGACCTTTCTTACGAAAGAGAAACATATGTGTGCTAACAATCGACGGTGCTCGATCGTAGAGGCATTCGAATCCTCAAGTACTGATCCATGGTACTACATATGTAATGTCACGCTTGGAGTAACACAGAATGATGGAGAAAAACTGTCTGAAATCCCTGACAATATGGCGCGAATAGCGACCGCTTCCATCGCCCAGGTCGGGTATAAAAATAGAAATGGAATATCATTTCAAACCTATCCACGAGATAGTCCATGGGGGCGGAAAATTAATGGCAGTACAGATGAAATTGGCATGACAATGGGAATTTACTCCATAGCATCGATTGCTGGGGCTGCACAGTTCAATCCTTTCACCAAATACTTTGGAGAGGCCCCAAGTCAAGGATTCATACTAAAGCTCAACCATCAATACTTCTTTTACCTCATAATTTTCCTTATAGTCGGCTTCCATTTTGTACTTTGCATTTTAACTGCCTTCCTTTCCAACAAGGTCAAGGTTGGACCATCAGGACATATTGGCATGAGTATCTTGCTCAAGCCAGTTACCGACCCGCTGGCAAGCATAAGTGATGGATTAGATGAAAAGAAACTCAGAGACGCCAAACGAAACACATATATTATTTATGAGAGAAATATGGAAAATCAGGGTCGTTGGAATTTCCGAAGCTTTCCCGGATGAAAGCTGATATCCAAAGTATTTGTATTTTGAGACTTTGGCAGCTGATAGTGCTGGCAGCAGCAGGCCTGATAAACTCACCGCAAACCTCCGACTACAGTCTCGGTGGGAACAGTCAATTGCTATAGTGTAGAATTGACCGAATGAAATTATCAACTCAGATGGGCTTGATTATATAATACTTATTCTACTAATGCACTTCTTAGATTTTCCATGTGATAGGAATAAATATATCAAATTTTGACTCAGTTTATCTTCTTCCATCTGGTTATTCTATGGGCCCTTGAAGAGATCTAAAGCTACATTAATTACTTACTAAGGATCTTGTTTGGTAAAAGCCCATAAATCCTGCTTGTCTCACATTAGCGAGTCGCTATTTCTCTCAGTAAATTCATTTGTACTACACTTTCAATGAACGTTAAATCCTATTCCTTTCCTTAACAAAGCATATTTCGGTTCACTACTGCTTCAATTTCTGCACTTCCAAATTGCTCAAACTAGCCATTCTTGAGGATCCGCTTATAGTTCTATCCAGAATTCCTAGGTTACTTACTATGGCTTAAGTGATGTGTCGTTTGAGGGCTACAGCAGTTCTACTTTTCCCTTTTTTCACCGAGGATACACCAAGCCCGAGTATTAATCACCTTGTGGCTGGTATCCTCTAGAATTTTATGTTAGCAAATCTGAGAGCTTTTCTTTGGTAAAAATAAAAGTTAAAGTCAATTGCTCACATATTATTTGAATTGTTACTGCTATGAGCGCTGTAAAGATTTTGGTGGATGTGTTCAAACATTTTCAGTCTTTATCTTTCATTTACATCAGATTGTAGTTGCGTATGCAGCTTTCTAGCTACAACACTATACTCGAGGTTAAGTAAAGAATAGATGAATCAATATTAAATTAGAGATCCTTTGTCTCGGATTTTATCTGCAAGTATCACTGCGAAATTATGGCGGCTTTTTCTTTACCCCAAGTCAACCCTCATCCGTGAATACCCACTCAGGGGAACGTCTCAAAAACCCTGAGTTATCTAGACGTGCCTCCATCATCCACTGACTTGTCTACGCGCTAAATAAGATCGGACGCGTCCCCTTACAAAGTGGAGTAAATGCCCAGGTTACCCAAACTTACTGGAGATCGCTACCAGGGGGCAGACCATGGCACCTTACTCATTGATTTGTGTTTATAGTGTTAGCTGCACTCTCGCGGTCAAAGTCTTGACATGCAAAAAGCTCAATTTGTAAAACTCCAAGCTAAAATTCAAAATTTCACACCGATCGATATTGTACCCTTCCTTTAGATTATCTTGTAAGCTTGCTCTGAATCATTTCAGGTCTATCCCGTAGAGTTGATTCCCAGATTTTTGGATCAATTTGTCTCCTCCCGCAGGATTTCATATTATTGTGGGCGTGTATATGGCGGTCAGCTTAGGCGAGAGAAAGTTGACGAGTGTTGTGGTCATTGAGATGAAAATATACCAATTCGTTTTTGTAAACTTGATGAGGTTTTGGTGGAGATCGATCTCATTGGGTGGGAGAAATTGATTTGGTGGAGTATTTTGAATCATTGCCTCGTGGGCCATCTTTTATGATTTTGTGAAATTTGACTGAGCTTGGCTTTGAGATAAGATTCCACTCCCAGTTTTGTACAGGGAACCGCGGACACAGGATAATTCTTTTATCCTCGAGCCCCAGACCCAATAGGACAATGTGCCCAACTAGATGCACGAATGGAGGTTCACAGCTAGACCCTATATTTAAGCCCCTTTATATTGGCCTTCTATCCAAGGCTTCAAATTTATCCACATCGTCAAACGTCGACACCTTCTCTACATAAACTACCGCAATCCTATTTGGACATTATGGCGATTGCCAGACCTGTCCGAATATTAGCTCTTTTAGCTATAGGCTTCTGGATATTTTTTCTTTACCACGTTTTCTATCCGGGAAAGTACTTCAGAGGCTCTACAAAAAATTACGATCTAGAAAGAGATCCTAATTTAGACCGTAAAATATCAGAAGAAATATTCAAACATATGCTAACAATCGAATAGCTACAGGTGAACCCGAAGGTCCTCTCTGGCGCGCCACTCAAGGATATGGTTTAGGTGCAGAAGGTGGAAACCGAATCAATGCGACACTCCTATCATTAGTTCGAAATGAAGAAGTTGATGGCATGGTACAATCTATGCGCGATTTAGAAAGGACTTGGAACTCTAAATTTAACTATCCATGGATATTTTTTAATGATGTACCTTTCACCGAAGAATTCAAAGCTAAGACTCAAGCTGAGACAAAAGCCGAATGTCTCTATGGTATTGCAAAATTTGATAATCTAGAAATCCAGCTAATCATTTCACAGAGCTGATACCTAGTAAACACTGGGAAGTGCCTGGATGGATCGATGAAGAACTCTTTCAAGAATCGGCTAAAATTTTGAAAGAAAATGACATACAATATGGTGCCCTTAAATCATACCATCAGATGTGCCGCTGGAATAGTGGACTATTTTACAAGCATCCAGCCCTTGCGAATATCCAGTACTACTGGCGAGTGGAGCCAAAAGTACACTTCTTTTGCGATGTCGACTATGACGTATTTCGCTACATGCAAGATAACAATAAAACTTATGGCTTTACCATCAATCTATACGACGCCCCAGCATCAATACCTACCCTCTGGCCAGAAACAGTCAAATTTATGGCTGAACATCCCAACTACTTGCATGAGCGAAATAGTATGAACTGGTTGACGGATAGCTCAAGAAGACCAGAACACAACATTAAAGCAAATGGATATTCAACATGTCACTTCTGGTCGAACTTTGAAATCGCAGATTTGAATTTATGGAGAAGTCAAGCTTACGAAGATTATTTTAATCACCTCGATCGTGCCGGAGGGTTTTTTTATGAAAGATGGGGAGATGCGCCGGTACATAGTATAGCCGTCGGATTATTCGAAGATTCAAGTAAAGTTCACTGGTTAGTACTCCTTGTTTCACTTGGTATGTCAGTTTTAATTCGCCCTGCAGGTTTCGTGATATTGGCTATCAACATATACCATATTTCAACTGTCCTAATTCACCCAAATGTCAAGGATGTGTCACTGGTAGGTTCACAGATGGAGAACCATGGCTTAAAAAAGAAGATTGCAGACCTAATTGGTTCAAATACGTCGGAATGGACTGACCTCACAAACATTGATGTTATCAAATGCAAGTGAAAAATGATAACTTTAGTTTTTATAGAAAAAACGAAATGGTATGGAGTTAATGGCAAAGCTTTTCTTGGGGTAAGGGGAACAATGAAATACGATTGACACAAATATAATTTTTACGAGTTTGGTTATGAAGAGAAGCATACACTTGAATTAGTAAGGAATCAGATACTAAAGAACGTCGGTACAAATTAAAAACCTGTTCTCAATCTATGATTCAAATCGAACTGCTGAGGTCTCCTAAATTTATGGCAAAAGTCATGCCACGGCTAAGGTACTTAAGAAGTCGGTAGATACTGCCATTTAAAAGCCTTTTTTCACTTGTTCGGTGCTAGGAAACGTGCCAGCTCATCCTACTTAGTAAGTTGATCTGGAGTGGACAAGCAATCTTATACGTGGCTCTTTATCTCGCACTCGTCGATGACACGAGCTATAATTACCATACGAAGAAACTTCGCTCCCTGATAAGAAACAATGACCAATCACATATGAAGGACGTCATGAATAAAGCTGTTCATGAAAAATATTTACGAGGTTGACATTGATAGGCGCACTGTGATAAAGGTCCTCGACCATCGGGAAATAGCTTAAAAAGGTGTTACCAATATTATAGAGTCAATCAGCTTGTAAATTAAACATATATCATGAGCCATGGCTAAATAATTTAACCTACCTCGAGTTGGTTTTCATAATTTAAGATTAAGGCTGATCCACATTGATCCACATGAACTTCGTCAATTCGGTGTCCTGGGAGCTTGGAACACAACAAAGGCTTCACTCGCTACCGATAGGGATTTTATGACGAAGAAAACTCCACAATTGTGTCCTTATCTTATTCGATACTCTGCCCCTGATTGGTATTCAGTATATTTAGAACCCCACGACAAGTCTGCTCTGCGAAATTTCTTGAATGTAATACGTATACACCTGCTGATTTCAAGTTTTGATAGGAAGCTTCAGATCACACATGAAGAATAGCAAATTCAATCCTTATATTTTTTAATTGTGCTTATTGTCCAGTTGAGTCCATGACTATATAAGAATATGTAAGTCATTTCAGCCTTAATACCGGAAGTACCTGTGTCTTGGACTGTGTAGTGTATCCTATGCCTTTTGTTAAAATACGATATATGACTTTACTGCATTGGAGCTTTAGTATTAATCAACAGTGAGTAAGTTCGATGTGCTAGGGATGACATAAAATGTAAACAGACTAGATAATATCCGCACAAGATGTGATGGGTCTAGGATTAGCTCTCATCTAAGTCACAGTTCAAGGTTAGGGGATGTAAGACCTCAATTTATGTCAGGTAACTGGGAGCCTGACCTTTGACAGGCTAAGTGTGTGTAATTTAAAGTAAAAGATAACTCAGTAAAAACAACTTGATTCCTATTTTTCCCGGAATTCTAGGACTATATACACTGATCATGATTGACTTGATCTCTTGATCTCTAAATATAGACATGCACTAGGAATAGAATAACCTGCAGTTCTAAATACAGAATGCAAGCACTGACCGAAAAAAACAACCCACGTACGTATGGAAGGTCCCTATTAATGACTCGAGACATTTCCCTGTCCAACTTCTTCGGTGGTTATTTTAGCCGTCGACACACCCACCCAGGACTAAAGATGTTAGATTTTAGTCCTGTACTATTCAACTTGCACGAGGTTAAGTAGACGGACAAAATTGGCATGTTTCTATTTGCCCAATGCTTTGGTCATTCCATCAGCAATCATATCTTTTGAACTGATCCATGAAACGCTTATATCTTTGGACTGTACGCGTTCCCGGAGCCAATGCTGGTAAATATCAACATGCTTTAGTCTTGTCTGTATTATGGGATCCTCTTTGGTGAGGAGTCGGATGGTTTGAACGTTATCATTAAATATTTCGATTTTTTGATCCGGGTTGAATTTAATACCCCTAAATATACGTTGTATACAAATTAATTCCTTAGAGGCGTTTGAAATTGCAAGTAGTTCAGCCTCGGTGGTAGAAGTTGTTATAGTTGCCTGTTTGCTGGAGTTCCAATGGATTGGTCCATTGAAAAGTTTAAAAACATAACCTTGAACACTGCGACGGTCCTCTGTATTTCCAAACGCGGCATCAGATGAGCAGTTAAGAATATTTAAACTTTCAGAGGAGCCAGAATACTCTATGCCTAAGTTCTTGGTTTCATTTAAGTATAAGATACAATGATCTACTGCATCATGATGAGCTGGACCTGGATTATTCAAGAACTCAGCTAGATGACCAACAGCTCTTGAAATGTCTGGCCTCGTGACGCCTGAGGCATAAATTAACGACCCCACCTTTTGTTGGTACAATTTTATCTCCTCTTTAAGGGCCTGTCCAGTGTACTTCGGCAATCGGTCATTGACAATCGGTGATGTGACTGCATGTCCCGGATTGGGAATCCAAAATTACGACACATCTTTTCAACATATGTCTTTTGACTAAGCCACAACTTCTTATTCGATCTGTCGCGAGTTATTCTAACACCTAGAAACCATTTAAGCTCATCTAGAACTCTGAACTCGTATTTTTGGGTAAGTTTATCAAGAAGTTCAACAGTATCAGTATACCTTTCAGACGGAAAACATAGAACAAGGTCATCGACATAGAAAAAAATGATGATGCCATTATAATCCGTGAAAACACATGATTGACCTGGAACCTGATATAAGCCAATTTCTATCAGAGTCGCAGATAGTAGCTTTATCCATAACTGGGGAGACTTGCGCAATCCGTACAATCCCTTCAATAGGCGAAGAATTTTACCCTGATTGCTAAATCCAGGTGGATTATAAACATAGATTTCTTCATCAATTGGGGAATTACAGAAAGCATTTACCGCATCTACTTGAATTGTTTCCAGTTTAAAATATGTTACTAGAGCCATAAGCAACCGGAAAACTTGATACGCCAATGTAGTAGCATAATTATCTTCGTCTGTCATAGGCTGTAGATCACCTCTGACGCAAATTCTGGCCTTGAACTTAGTCAAAAACCCATCTTCATTTAACTTGTAGGAGAAGATCTATTTTAGGGGAATTGGATGCATTGAATCAGTCTGCTTAACTTGTTCTATTGTTTTCTTGCTCAACAAAGTATTGAATTCAGTTGAAATAGCAGCCAAGAATTGACTTGAAATAAGATGGTTTTTAAGCTTTTGCAAGTTCTCGGGCGGAGGAGGAAGCGTTGACTGATGAATCTGTTTTGATTCCTTTGAATTTTCAAGTATAAGACCACTTATAATGGCAGACAGTACATTTGGGGTTTGACCTGATCTAGCCGAAGCTCTCGTATGCGTTCTAGCCCCAGTAAGGATATTTCTTTCATCAATATGACTTAAGTTCCTAAATCTTGAGTGGTTTATCAAGTCATTACAATTATTTGCAAGCAATGAACCCGCACTTTCTTCAGCATCGAGCAACAAATCATCTGGAGTCAGCAAACCTGTCGGTATTTTGTTCTGAGTAAGGTCAAGATTATGCTCTTCATTACTTATTTGCTCATCATCCTTAGTCTGACTATTTGGTTCATTATTGCGAATTGGAAAGTCTTCTATGTCAAGATTTATATCTGGAATAGATGAAACTGTAGAGAAATCAACCAGTGGTAGATATACCTCATCATTTTCCAGCCCTTGATGATCAGTGAAAAATCTTGACTCGTCAAAAGACACATCTCGAGTTCCAATGACCAATTCTTCATCAGGCAATAGGATTTGATAGATATTCCTGGAGTTATAACCAGCAAGATTTCCTATTTTTGCTCTGGGTCTCATCTTTTCTCCCTTTGAAACTGATTTTTCCAATGCATACGCTCTACACCCGAATGCTTTAAGGTGGCTGTACTCGTCTCTATCATGAATTCCGAGTTCTTTCCGCAGCTTTGACAATGGCAATAACCAACTTAAAGATGCCATTGGGATTCAATTAATCAAATATGCTGAGGTCATAACGTACTCAGGCGAGTACTCGGATTTTAAGCCGGCCCCATTATCTGAACAGCGAGCTTTTGTTTGTATCAACCCCCCAGAACGTTCAGATTGGTCGTTCTGCTCACTTGTTGATACTGCAGACCAGTTTTATTGGACAAAAGATAGACAAAATTCATTCTTGTACAATCATCTGTAAGGTGCAGCATGTAACAAGATCCATCAAATCCCAACGGGGAGTATGAAGCTAGGTCAAAATTAACTATATCAAAGGGTGATTTTGCACGGTCTGATGGTTGTTGAGAAATTATCCTTGTTGCCTTGTTCAGAGCGCAAGTTTGACACTTGTTAGTCTTTGGACCGCTTGCGTCAAATTTGACAGTCTCACTCTGGATATAACTCAGCGCATCTGGACCAGCATGGCCAAGTCGTTGATGCTAGAGTTGTATAGAACCTATTGATTTACGCGGCTCTCTAGGATTGACCACAACTGCGGAATCTTCAGCCAATGGATGATTTTTTTACATTAGGCTGATGACCTAAGTCCGGAAGATTTATATCTGATACTGGTTGCTGAATGAAAACATCATGATTATGACGGTCCAAGAGTTGACAAATAAGATTACCATTATATTTCATCTCGCTGGTCTCAGAGTTCCATTTCACACCTTTTATCTTGAGTAACTTCCCAGAGATAACTGATGTTAAAAATTCAGGTGCAAAGGCAACATTTGTGATGGTCATTTTGAAAGTTTTACCATTTCCAAGGTTAGCATCAAATGTCATGTTACCATAGCCTATTATTGGACATGTCCCTGCACCTGCTTGAACGAATGCGTCATTTGGAGGTGCCGACAGAGGCGAATATGCGAGTCCAAGATTATTACAGACATGTCCATCTGCTCCACTATCTAGAAGTATCTCCTTCCGTAACGGATGGTCGAAAATAGTGGTTAGTGTATTTATTTTAACAGATGTAATAAATGTCCCGCTGTTGTTGTAATTATCTCTCAGATGTCGAGAA